AATCACTCTGTCAGGAAGTTCTTCCTAATGTTTAGCTGAAAACTCTTCTGATTTAATTTTAACCCGTTGGTTCTCGTCTGACCTTCTGGGTCAACAGAAAACATCTCCGTACCATCCTCTACATGACAGCCCTTCAAGTACTTGAAGATGGTTATCGTATATCCTCTCAGTCATCTCTTCTCCAAGCAAAACGTACCCATGAACCTTTCCTCATATGACTTGGTCTCCAGACCCCACACCATCTTCATTGCATTCCTCTGGTCACTTTCCAGCTTGTCTATATCTTTCTTAAATTGTGGTGCCCAAAACTGAACACAATTTTCTAGGTGAAGTCTAACCAGAGCAGAGTAAAGCAGTACCATCCCTTATCATGATCTGGACACTATATTTCTGTTGATACAGCCCCAAATCGCATTTGCCTTCTTAGCAATTGCATCACACTTGTTCAGTGTATGGTCTACTAAGACCCCTAGATCTTTTTCGCACATACTATTGCCAAGAACAGTCTCCCCCAACCTCTAATTATGCATTTAATTTTCCCTACTTAAATGCAGAACTTGACATTTATCTCCATTGAAATTCATTAAATTCATTTTAGCCCAGTTTTGCAGCCTGTCAAGATCATCCTGTATCCTGACTCTGCCTTCTACTGTATTCACTACCCCTCCCAATTTAATAAGCATTCCCTCTATTCCTTCATCCAAATCATTAAGATGTTAAACAAAACAGGTCCCAGGACAGATCCTTGAGGCACTCCACTTGTTACTCCTCTCCAAGAAGATGAGGAACCTTTCACAAGCACTCCTTGGGTGCGATCTTTCAACCAGTTACAGAGCCATCTAACTGTCATAGGATCCGAACCACATCTTTCCAATTTGTCAACAGGAACATTATTGATCGGTATAATTTGAAAGAGAAAATTTAATTTTGGTAATAAGTTCTTATTTATTGCAGAGATTCTCCCCAGCCATGATCATTTTAGTTCGGACCATCTTTACAATTCTTTTTGGTATCTTCATCCAGAATAACATTTCACCGAGCTTTTCCCTCCTCTACTGTAGCTATCCAGGTCTATGTGTTGGGATTCTGGAGACAGGAAGGGCAAGGCACATCCTCTGGCTCTCTGGTGGGTTGCCGCGTTAGTCTGTAGATGTAGACCGGAACACAAAGTAGCCCCTTCAAGACCACCCAGATTTTCCAGGGTTTAAGCTCTCATGAGTTAAAACTCACTTTGTCAGATGGGCATGAGAAAGAAGACCCATCGGCCCTCCTCTCTGGCTCAGAAGGTGGGAGTGGGGTTACCAAGAAGGGCCGCTGGGAGTCAATAAACAGAAGTGCTGTTAGCCGCAACACCTGGGTCTCTGTTGGGAGTTATGATGGGGGGATTAGCTAAGGGACCGTTACCAAGTAGGAGTGCAGCCAAGGGATCACACTCCAACTATACCAAAGCCAGAACCCTCTCAGAGCGGCACAGAAGACGGACAGGAAATATCTTTTATGAAATCTATTAAGAAAATAACTCTAATACACTCAGCTAATCAATGGGATAACACACACACCAGGGAGCTAGGAAATAAAGAGGTGAAGCGATCTTAAGAACATAAGAACATAAGAGATGCCAATGTTGGATCAGGCCAAAGGCCCATCCAGTCCAACACTCTGTATCCCACAGTGGCCAGAAATACCAGGGGCCATCAGGACGTCCACCAGTGGGGCCAGGACATTAGAAGCCCTCCCACTGTTGACCCCCCCCCAAGCACCAAGATGACAGAGCATCACTTGCCCCAGAGTCCCTATCTATACCTTGTGGCTAATAGCCACTGATGGACCTCTGCTCCATGTGTTTGTCTAATTCCCTCTTGAAGCGGTCCATGCTTGTAGCCGCCAACACCTCCTGTGGCAGTGAATTCCATGTGTTAATCACTCTTTGGGTGAAGAAGTACTTCCTTTTATCCGTTCTAACCCGACCGCTCAGCAATTTCATGGAGTGCCCACGGGTTCTTGTATTGTGAGAAAGGGAGAAAAGTACCTCTTTCTCTTCCTGATCTTAAAGAAATCAGTGACAAAGGAGGAGGATGCATTGACGGGAGAGTGGTAACGCTACTGGTCCAGATGTGCAGAGGTCCACGGAGAAGGGATGATGGCCCAAACAAAGTTTGGGGATGAACAGCAGACAGTTGGCATCAGGGCAGACACACACTCTGAGGCCACGTGCTTTGGAGGATATAGACATGGGGAAACAATGAGGGCCAATGGGGGGCCTTGAGTGGCTTGTCTCAGTGAAGACAGAAGATTACCAGGACCAATCAGGGGTTGTTTCGTAGATAAAGAGGTGCAGGAGCTCATTAAAATAACTCATTAGCATAACTTATTTGCATATGCCACAGACACTGACATCACCAGAAGGCAGCACCCACTGATCAGGCTCCACTGGACTGTTTTGGATTGCTAGCTATTGGGGGGGGGGAAGTGCAGATCTGTCCTCGCAGAGGAGGGAGAGCTTGTACCTGAATAAAACTTGGTCTTAAGGGTGCCACTGGACTGTTTTGGATTGCTAGCTATGGAGGGGGGGGGGACGGGCCGGCTTGCCCCGCG